CGTACGTGCACTGTAATGTATTTATGTGGTGTGTAATGCACACCCACATTCGCATGTACCTGGTCCGCAAGAGGGCGAGTCGGGTCCATTCTCTTCAGGACGGCCCACGGGGGCAGGATCTGCTCTAACCTGCAGCGTAAGGGGGGGGGCCGACCGGAGGGGTTGTGGACCACGGCAGGAGGGCGCTGTGCGGGGGGGAGCTAGATGGAACCCAGCGGGCGGGCCCCCCCCCACGACCACCACCACGCTCACACTCACACACACTCTTTGAGTTTGGGAGTGCTGTGCAGTCACATATCCAATGCGGGTTTCGGTGAGTCGGGTTTCAAGGCCCGCTCAATGAGCCCTGGTGGGGAGCTAGGGGGGCGCTGCTTTAGACGGGAATGTTGATGTGGTGTGGTGAGGGGGATGGTGATGCAATGGGGGAGAAGCGCGTATATGGGCGGTGATTGCGATAGATTGTGCAGCGGGTGGTGTTGGGGGAATAATGGCAACCATGGGCAATCCGGTTGCTGATTTCTGCGGGGAGGAGGGCGTGGGTGAGGGAGGGGGGGATTCCGGGGACTAGGGAGGAACGCCAAGTTTTGCTAAGTAGGGACATATCTCCCCAGGGTTGCGCTGAACGAGGCATCATGTTAATGAAACCAGCTTGGTATGGCGTCAGGGATAATGTGCCAAGGTCTGGTAGCTCTGTGTCTGCTTAAGAAATTAAAGAGCGGCTCCCTAGCGCCGTCATCCTTCGCCAAGTAGCATCTCCCCGCAGGTGCTATACGTAGCTTGTTGGGTTGTGCCCTACGTAAGCGAAATCACAGCCGTCCCGTCCAGAGGAGGGCGTCCCGCAGACCTGTCTGCCGCCGGGTGCCAGCCATCGTAACACCACCAGACCTCCCATGGCTCCTCAGCCGAGGAGGTGCTCTGTGCTGGCCTGGCGTGATCTGACGTTAAATTGCAGGCGAGTCGTCTCCGTCTGTGGTAAACCTGTCTATTGCATGTGACTTGGGGTTTGATCGGTGGAACTGTTATTCTCGGCTTGCATGACAGATGTAGCAAGCGACTTTCACCTGTAATGAAAGGACAGTAACGAGTCCTCCCTAACGACATTTTTTGTTACAGCGGTTAAAATATCTAGCCATCAAGTTTCTTCCGTTTTTGCCACAGTTGTTGTACGGAAATAAGAATTCGCCCGGGAACAGCTCCGTCCCCCCAAAGCGGCGGACTCATGTTAACGCAGCCGCAGACCTGCTAAGGGTTTAAACATATGCCGCTTACTTTGGCCATGCTGACAGAACAGTGCCAACCGCCGGTACCTTGCCAAGCCATCGCTTTTGCACTAGCATAGCGGGCTGTCCATGTCGAAATCCTACCAGAGCAGTACCTCTTTCGATGAGTCTGGCCTTGTAGATGAGCTACTGCTGGCCCTTGTTGGTATACACGGAGACCTCTTCGTGGACATTAACGACAAGCCGGGGTCCGTTCCTCTGCCGCAAGCCCGCAGCTGCAACCCTCCAAAGACAACATCTTCATGGGCATCCTAGGATAGCGAGCCTTCGTGCATGGCCCTCGCAGGAACGAAAAAGATGAGGAGAACTATCAACTACCAGGCCCAACGGAGTGCTCGGTGCATATCTCCCCGGAACTCACCTGGATTGGCGAGTCGGACAGGTTAGCAACAGAGCAGGCGACCTGACACCGGCAATACATATAAGATGTTGTATAAGAGGATTCAGCCCGGACACGCACCCGTTACCACCACCACCCTCCCTGCCCCCGAAACCCCCGTGCCTGCAGGATAATCTGCAATCTATTGCCATTAGCATGGCCTGCATCCCATCCCCATTTCCTTCTCTCGACTTCAATTCCTTGCCCGACCCTTTTGCTTTGGAAAGTTCTCATTGTTAGTCGTGTGCCAGGTTTTCTTCAACTTTTGTGCATGTAATTCCCCCTCGCAGCCGTCCTTCCTTGCCCTTCCTCCGCCTCCTTCTCTTCCCCTTCCCCACTTCCGCTGTCGCGACCTGCACACTGCTACACATCACTTCCCGCCTTTTTGTTGCCGTTACCTCTCCCAGTGTACAGCCGAATCGCACATAGCTGTATACAGCATATCCATTCCCCTCCGCCGCCGCCGCCGCCTTCTTCCCTCCCCTTTCCACCTCCACAGACAGGTTCTTGCGGACCTTCTTCGTCTGGGCTTCCACTTCAAGGCCGTGAGCACTTTTGTCGAGTGGGAGCACGCGCCGTGGGACCCCCGACACAGCACCCGCGCACCGTCGGTGTACCGGAGGGCGCTGGCATCAGGGCTCACGGGTGCGCAGGAGACCAAGGGGGAAGAAAGGGAGGAAAGGTGGAGGGTTGTAGATGATACATGCAGAAGGTAACGGCCAGATACCTTACACAGCAGCAAAGCAGCAGGGGCCGGCGAATAATCGGGAAGTATGATTGGGGATCGAGGTGGGGGCTCTGGGTTGGGGTTGGTGAGCGGAGGAGTATCTGGAGGGTGGAGGCGATCATGGGAGATGATGGGAGGTTTTGGTAATGGGGGATTAGGGATGAAGCAAGCGGAACAGAGGGGCCCCCCGGGGGGAAACCGCACCCGTGGCGGGCCTGAAGTGCGAATGTGAACACCCGCCGGATGAGAGGCCGATGGAGTTGACTGGGATGGGATGGGATGGGAACCCAAGGTAAGAAGGGGGAGGGGATTGGGGACGGGGTAACGCATGGATATTCCGGCGGAAGCGACCCATGCACCTGATCGACACTCCCTCCACCTTCTGCCCGCTCCCCCTTCCGCAGGTTGTTCCCAATCATTCGGCATTCGGTCTTTCCCTATTGTATCACGGCTACGATCGCGGATGTCAGAAGGCCGTGATACACGCCGTCCAGGATACAGCACATTCCCTCTGCCTCTTCCCGCGGCTGCCTTGGCGCTGGGTGGTTTCCCTGTTAACCCCTGAACCCTCTCCCCCTTCCCTTCCCCCTTTGTTCCCTCCCCCCGCCTGCTGGTCTGTTGCTTCAGAGCTGCTGGATGACTACCGGTGTGCTGTGTTGTCGCTGCAGCGCCAGCTGCGGGAGCAGGAGGCGCCGGCGCTGCCAACCATACTGCACAGAATGTGGGAGTACGTGGTGGGTAGGGTGGTGGTGGTGGGTAAGGGGTGGTGGGGGGTTCGGAGGGATGTTGAGGGGGCAGGGGGGCATGATGGCAGTTGGGGCGGCAGAGGGACAGCTGCTTGGTTTTTCACTCGGCAGCTAAGGGGCCACACTGGTAAGTGCTGTGTAGCTTTCCTAGGCAGCAATACCATTACGATACTGCCCTATTGGTATACTGATACCTACCCATCTCTCGCCCATATGCCCATATCTCCGTGGGAATGGCCTCCGCTTCTGTGGGAACGGTTTTCTGTCCATCTCCCCCTCGATAAGTCACCGCGATAAGTCTATTTCCCCAGTCATTGCTGGTTGTTGGTAACTTCTTACAGTTTCCTGTTGCAGTATGTCTGTCTGTCTGTCTATTCCTGCGGAGTAGTATCCATCTATCTCTTGGAGTATCTGCTTCACCACTCGTCTATGGGGGTCGCCTTCTCCTTCTCCCCTTCCGCCCGCCGGCTGCTGTTCACATCAGGCCAACCCCGTAGCTCAGCCAAAGCACCAACCGGACCTCAGCCCTTCTTCCTGCGCTTGTGACACCCCCCCTCCCTCATCTTTTTTTGCATTGAATATATGCGCGCGTGTGTGTGTGTGTATGTGGTTGTATGATTCCCACCGCCCTCCCACCCTTTTCTACGCTCTCCTGCTCTGAGTTTCCCCCCACCCCCCTTCCCACCCCCCCTCCGCCCTCGGCTGCCTTTACTGCCGTTCATTATGGGGCCGCGTGCTCATGCGCATGTATGTTACTGCATGTGTGTCTGTCTGTCTGTGTGTGTGTGTGTGTTTCGTCTCTGTCCCCCACCCCCAGGACGTGCTCCCGGCCTTACACGCACTGGCAGCGGCCCAGGACCGCGTGTCCGTGGGACCCGCCTTCAACGCAGCCGACCTGATCAATTCGCTGCATGCGGGCACCCGCAGCGGCCTCCCTGCCGTACGGCAGGCGATGGGCAGGCTGTTGTGGCACTGCAACCAGGTGCTCATGCAGCAGCTGGCGGCCTGGTGAGTGAGTGGAGGCTGGGGGAGGGAAAGACGAACCACAAACGAGTGAAGCTGCTGCCAGGGCTTGGGGGGAAGAGGCGGAAGGGGGGAAAGAGGCGGAGGGCGGAAGGGAAGGGGTGGGGGGTAAGACGAACCGCTGGCGAATGGAGCAGATACCAACGGAGGGCGGAAGGGGGGAGAAGGAGCGGGTGGAGGTGCGGGGCAAGAGGTGAAAGGGGGTGGAGGTTTGGGGAAAGCGGGACGTGAGAGGCGGGCGGAGCCTGTTTCAAGAAGGGGTGCGGAAAAGTGTGTGGGAGGGGAGTTCCCTTTTCCCTCCATGCACACACACACACACACACACACACACACACACACGGAACTCTCTGTCACTCGTCCTTGTTGCTTTCTTCTCAACACGTTACATTACATTACATTACATTACACGACACCTCAACACCCGTGTTCCCTTCCTCTCTTTCCCTCCGCTACACGCACATACATACATACACACATACATACACACATACATACACACATACATACACACATACATACACACATACATACACACATACATACATACATACACACATACATACAAACACACATATGGACCCGTCAGGATGATGCACGGCATGCTCCAAGACCCCCATCGGGAGTTCTTCATTCAGCCTAGGGCGCTGACGGCGGCGCAGCAGCAGCAGCAGCAGCAGCAGCAAGCAGCAGCAGCGGCGGCGGCGGTGGCGGCAGGAGCGGCCCGGGAGGATGACGGCGCGGGACTGGATCTAGGCGGCAGCGGCGGTCGCGGCGGCGGCGGGGACACGGGTTGGGGTACGGATGTGGGTGGGGTGGCCGGCGCCAGTGGGCTCGGCAGCAGCAGCAACAGCGGCAGGATGGACGACGAGGCCGCGTACCGGGAATGGCACGGGGGGTTCCAGGTGAGCTACTCTACGTTGGGGCGAAAAGTTGGGCCGGTAGTGGGAGGTCGGGGGGTTACGTATGTATATGTGTGTGTGTATTCACGTGACGGTGAGGATGCGTGAGTGCATGTTGTTGGATGGATCAGCAACCGCATCGTGACTGGTGTTTGGCTGGCTGGCTGGCTGGCTGGCTGACTGGCCGAACACCTGCAGCTTTCGGACTGAGGCTAACCCTCACATAAAGTGTCTGCCAATCCCTCATCCTTACATCTCCCCTCACCCCTCACCCGCTTACCCCCCCACCCCGGGGGCACCCTCTCCCGCGCCACCAGGTTAGCACTCGCTCCCTGCCGCTGTACGTGAGCCACGACCTGGCGGAAACCATAGTGTTCGTGGGCCGGGCGGTGAGGGTGCTGAGGAGGCCATGTGGCAGTGGGGGGGCAGCGGCAGCGGCAGCGGCAGCGGCAGCGGCGGGGGTGGGGCTGGGAGCTGGGGATGGCACGGGAGGCGGCGGGGTCAGCGGCGGCGATGGAGGTGGCGGCGGCCTGGGGCAAGAGCTGATGCCGCTGCAGGACATGTTGCAGTTTGGGCAGGTGGGCAGTGGGCTCGGGGAGGGGAGGGGAGGGAGCGTTGATGTGGTGGGTGAGTGCGTCAGTTGGGTGGTTGGTCGTAGGGAGCTGCTTCTGGTGGACATGGGGGTGACGAGGGGGGTTGGGGACGGTGGGGCGGGAGGGTAGGTTTTGGATTCAAAGCTATGAGGACCGGCGTGTGCATGCGTGTGTATGTATGTGTTTTTGTGTGTAGATTGCGGCGTATGACGCCCGTGGGGAGAGGCCGCGGCTTCCTCTCCCCACCCATCACTCCCCTCCCTGCCCTGCCTCCATTCCGCCCCCAAAGTGCGCCTCTTCTGGTTTCCTCACATGGGATTCCACCCTCACCCTCGCTATTTAATCCTCATCATTCCCTTCATCCTATGGCTCTCCCCGCAAACCATCCGGCCCCCTCCCTTTCCTAAGGCCTTCACCGCGCTCCAGTCCGAACCCGAACTCTCCGCCCCCCGTTTGGAGATGTTGGTGGAGGGCCTCCGCGCCCATGTTGCCCGGCTGCTGTGGCGGCTACTGGTGGGCCGCGCCGGTCTGCTGCCCCACCTGGCCGCCCTCAAGGACTACCTCCTGCTGGCCAGGGGGGACTTCTGGCAGATCTTCCTGGCGGAGAGCAGACCGCTCATGGCAGCGCCGCCCAGGTATGCAGGGATGATGGGAGGCGGGCAGGGTGGGGCCTGGAAGGAGGGGGGAGTTGAGGGAGGGGGGAGGAGGGGGGAGTTGAGGGGGGAGTTGAGGAGGGGGGAGTTGATCCAATCCTGGCGAGGGGGGTTGGGGGGCTATTGGCTTTACTTTGTGTCTTCGCTCCTCTCTCTTTCCTTTCCTTTATCATATTGTCATTCTTGTTTATGTGGCGTTGTGGCGTCCTCTGTGTGACTTTCCTCCCCTCTCCTCAACCCCAGCACGCGCACTCTCGCCCCTCCCTCCCTTCCTCCTGGTACACTCTGTACTTGGCAGCAGCTTCACCCGTTCGTGGTTCGTCTTTCCACCCCTTACCTCCCACCCTCACTCCCTCCCTCCCCTCCGCTACCTCCCCGCCCCCAGGTTGCAGTCCGTGGATGCCGACCTGGCTGTTCCCTTCAGTCGCAGCGCCACTAAGAGCAGCGCGGAGGGGGACCCGCTGCTGGGGGCCTTCAGTCTGAGGTACCTCAGAGGGCAGGAGGCAGAGGCGGCGTTCCAGGTAATGGTGGGGATGAGGATGATGATGATGAGGAGGAGTGATGAGAATGAAAGATAGGAGGTTGGTTAAAAACACAATGTGCAGCTGGGCCTTTTAAGCGTTAAGGTTCGTTCAGCTGGGGGGGTTGCAGTGGGCTTTTGTCTTGGGGGTGTATCATCCCCTGCACGATCCTGGCACGCGTCTTTCCCCCCCCCCCCCCGCCTCAGGATGCCTTCCTGCCTGCCCCCCAGCTTCCGCCATGCCCCCCCCCGCCTGCGACAGGCAACTGCTACAGGCAACTGCTACAGGCAACTGCTCAATCTGGCCGCAATGGGCACGTGCACGGCAATCATGCCACCTTTTCTTTCATGTCCGTGTCCGTGTATATGTATGTGTGTACGTGTATGCGTGTGTGTATGTATGTGTGTAGGTGAGCACCGGCAAGGCCGCCACCGCGGGTCACGTCGTTCCCCCCCTGGACCCCGCCTGGGACCCCCTGGTGCTGGATGTACGGCTGGACTGGCCGCTGGGGTTGCTGCTGGGCCGCGAGCAGCTGCGGCGGTACAACCAGCTTTTCGCGCTGCTGCTGCGGCTGAGGAGGATGAGTGGTCAGCTGGATGACGCCTGGAAGGACCTCAGGATGTGGGTGGGGGGGAGAGAGGGGAGGGGGAGGGGGGCCAGGAGATCGCAGGCATGGGTGGGTGAGTGGGGGGTTGTCTGCAAGGGTTATGATGTTTATGTTTGTATGTATGTATGTGTGTACCTATACTACAAGGTGTATAACGTATAATGTAAATAGTGTGTAAACACAATATATACATAATGTATGGTCCGATCCGCTTGGTGGGTGCTCTTGAGATCCACCACAGGGGGCGATGGTGCAAACCTTCGGCGGTATAACACATACACACACATACACACTCTCTCTACATCACCCCCCCCCCCGCCCCCCCGGGGCCACCCCCGTGCAGTATGGACCGACAGCTCCAGCGGGACAGCGGCTCCTCCGTCTCCGGAGCCCGCATGCGGGACCTGCAGGACCTGCGGAATAACATGGCGCACTTGGTGGGCAACCTGCAGATATACATACAGGTATGCGTGCGTGAGTGCGTGTGTGTGTGATGTGTGGAACAGGGGGGTATATCTTTTCACCCTGCGGCCGCTACCTGGCGAAGCCCTGCCTTCCCCGGTATTTCGGGGCACACCCTCATCCAGTCACCCTAGAAGTCGACTTTTCAGTGGATCGCTCAGGCTCCACACCCACCACCAGCATCCAACGGAATCTGCCGGGTTGACGGCGGCCCAACTCCATTCCTGGTCGGCTCGCATCCACCATCTTCCACCATCGGAAGGATTTTCGACCCTGTGTGTATATGCTAGTGTATGCGCGTCACAACACCGAACACTATTCCTTTTTGGCCCTCCCCCCCCATCACCACAAGCACATACACATGCACAAGCTCATACACATACGCGCGCGCTTCCCTCTCCTTCATTGCTCCGCAAGTAGGCCAAGTCGCCTCTTCAAACAGCTTTTTCGTAATAAATATGCAATTTTCGTGTTCTTCTCTTTCTTCGCCCGGTGGGGATTACCCGGGGCCTAATGGCGACCGTATTTTGCCGTATATTGCAGACCGACGTGATTGAGGTCAACTTCAGTACTTTGGAAACCAAGATCTCCACTTGTCAGGACTTTTCTGAAGTAAGGGGGGAGGGGGGGGAAGGGGGGGAGATGTGAAAGGAAAGGGAAAAAGGAGGTTGGGCACCACCACCCCGCCGCCTGTCAAATCCAGTATCTGGGCCCTCCGCTGCCTCAATGCATGCCTGTCGTGTACTGTCCCCACTTCCGTACTCGTACATCCGTACACAGACATATCTATGGACCCTCCGTTCTTCTTCCTTCACATCCCCGCTTCCCCTCTCCCGCTGCCCTTCCCCCCCTTTTCGCTTCCCCCCTCCTCCCCTGCACCTCCCCCCCAACCTCTTGTTCAGTTGGAAAGAGCCCACAGCATCTTTCTGTCCACCCTCATGGTCCAGAGCTTCCTGACCGTGAGGACGTTGTGCACCGTGCTGGCGGAGATATTCCAGGACGTGGCGGTGAGGCCGGCAGAGGGGGAGGGGGGGAAAGACGAACCACGAACGAGTGAAGGTGCTGCCAGGGCAAGGGGTGGAGGGGTGGAGGGGGGCAGGGAAGGGGTGGAGGGGAGGGGGGTAGTGAGGTCAGCCGGGAGGGGGGGAAAGGCTGGATGAATGCGTTTTCCCGGAGACGAAGAATCACGAGCCGGAGAAACCCAAACCCAGCCCAACCCCTGCCCGCCACCTCCCCACCAGCACCACCACCGCCACCGCCACCAGCACCGCATTCCGCGGGGACTCCCATTGCCGCCTCCCCCACCATCGCCGCCAGCTCCTTCCCCCACCCTTCCGGCCCCTTCCCCGCCAGTTTCGGACTTTGGGCGCCGCCGCAGCTCATTTCTGGGTTTCTCGCATCATACAATGATCTCCGCCCACCCCACCCCACCCCACCCCACACAAACAGAACTTGTCCCAGCTGGTGTCACGGGCGGGTTGTGAGCCCCAGCGCCTTGACTTTGCCGCCATTGGCCGGGTGCGGAGCAACTTCCTGCGCCACGCCTCCGGACTGTACAACACCATCAGCAGGTTCGTAGAATACTTATATGTGTATCGGTGTGGGGGTACGTGTACGTGTAGGGGGAGGGGGGGAGGGGGGGAAAAGGAGGGTGGTGGGGCCTGATGTGAAGATAGGAGCCCAGGTTAGCGCTGTGTACTCTTCTTCGCATGTCGAGTATCTGTTCCCTTGAGGTGTGGCCGGTCAGAACTCGCCCCCTTCTGGGCTCTCAGTTTTATGGCGGCCTTCAACCCACCTCCTTTTGTGAATGACGCCACTGTCCAGCTGTCACAGCTGTGTGTGCAATGCAGTGTACGTCGGGACTCCCGCGCCCTCTCCGTGCTGTGTTTATTGATTTTCTTAGCCCTGTAAGCTCCGGATGCATCCCCCGCTTTTGCTCGCTTCTTGCTTTCCTTCCTAAGGAGCGGCAACCACAGCAATATTCCCTTTCTTCGTTCGCGCCCTGACCGAATCCCGCCCACCCACCCCCACCCTCCCGGGCCCTCCTCCCCCATTCCCGGCCCCTCTCCTCCGCCAACGCCGCAGTCAGCGCATGATCGACTCCTTCCGCGCCCCCCACCTGGCCCAGCTGGTCACCCGCCTCAACTACAACGGCTGGTACAACGCGGCCACCGGCAGAGGGCAGGAGTAACACACGGGGCCCGGGGCCCCTTCGCTGCTGCTGATGATGATGACACTGCTACTACTGCTGCTTCTCCGTCAGCTGCACGCCTCAGTTGCCTATTAAAGAGGGGTCACTGCATTCCTTTCTTTTGTGTGATTGTGCCAACTGGGTGAGAGAGAGAGAAAGAGAGAGAGAGATGCTCAGGAGGCTCTGGGTTGCGTGGTTTCCAAGGCAACGAATGTGGGGCCCGGGAGTGCGGGCTGGAAGAGACGTAGTTGGACGCCAGTTGTAGGCCCCCGGGGGCCTGCAGGGGGCACAACCAGGAGGCAGACAGGAAGGTGCTGTGCGATGAGAAATGTCGTTGTGTCTGTGTCTGTGTTGTGTGACGCTGTGTGATAGGAAGATAGGGCCCAGTTCAACTCGCGGCTCGCGGAACCTTGCCATCAGCGAGATATCCGTAGCCTGTGGCCGCGTGGCTGTGAAGATGGCTGTGGTTGTGTTAGCGGACCTGGAGGCTCCGCGTTTGGGCCATTAGCGCGAGGAGGTGGTGGAGCTGTTGTTGTTGGTGGTGGTGGGGATGGGTCGCGGTCCAGCAGCATGACCAGCACGGTGTTCCAGTGGCGGCAGGAAAGACACTAAACAATAACATGACATTCTCAATGTGTGAGTGTATGTGTGTCATGTGTGAAGCTGTGTGTATTTGAATGTGAGCTGCTCACGGGTACCTGTGAAACATCTTTCAGTTATACGAGGAGGTGGTGGTGATGGTGGTGGTGATGGTGATGCCGCGTTTCTAAACTAGGCCTCCAGAGGGGCCCCGGTGCGCCGGCTGTCTCCTGAGTACACAGGCGGCTGTTTGCACCCGGCCTGTGTTAGTGGGGGCTAATGGGTAGCTGCTCCTGGCCCTTGGCGGGTCCGGTCAGGACAGGTAGGGTAACACGCGTACAAGTACCCGTGCCAAACGCAGCCATATTGCCTGATGAACCGACAGGTATACGGTCTTCTGAGCTCCTTAACAACATTCGGTTCTCCCCACACACAGCGGCCGCTCCCCCGAACCTACCTGATCTCTGGCAACGTCTTTCTCCAAAACTCTCTATCCCCAGCATCCCCTACCTAGCTAGCGGCCATCACCATATCACCAATTCACCATATCAATACCATCAATCATGGCATCGTTGACGGCTGGGGATTTTGGGCGCCATATCCTTTATTACATGGGTTATGGTTCCAATCGCCACCCAGTTACCCACCTTCACACCCCTACTACATATCACGAGTCCCTACTAACTACATAGCACCTCAAGTAAACGCCAGGCAAGGTCTGACGTGGAACTTCTTTCCCCTTGTCAGCAGCTATGAGAGCCGACGTCTGCCAGAGGATGGGCCCTCTTTCGGATCGATGCAAAGCGCACATCGTGCAATTTTACGAACAAAATGACCGACGGCCAGATCCCTCTTTTTAACGCGAGCCACCACCGCCGCCTTACCGACCTCATGACTGTCCGGTTCTCATCACGACTGCCCCTCTGCCCTCATGCTTGCACCCCATTACCCTCCTCCCCCTCGTGCGCATCGATTTCTCTAACCGCTCAGTACAGCAGTAGCAGCAGCAACGGCCGCCGCAGGCAGCGATGGTGTCGCCGCCAGCAGTTTGACCGTCTTGTCGAAGCTGCACGTCGCGAGCAGGTTGCGGTCAGGGTCGTAGTCCAGGCCTCGTATATTTATTTTGTGAATCACGGCGGTTGTGTGCACCGGGCGACCGCTGCCCAGGTGGATCACGTTCAGCTGTCCGGGGGGGGGGGAGGGAGGGTGAAACACGCGGACGGCAAAGGCGGAGTTGTGAGGTGGGTGTGGGTGTGGCGCACAAGGCGCACACACACGCGCACCGCACACAGCCAAGTAGACAGACAGGCGCATGTCCGAAACTCATAAACAGAACCCACGGGGTTTCAAATTGCGCACTACGAAGCCCGACGCCCCCTCATACCAAACAGCAGCATCGCTCAGCAGGACGCCTCGTTCTCATTACGCGAGCCGCACCTGTCGCCAGAGCGCGCCGTAGGGACCGCTCATCATCCCGTGGCTCTCTTTTCCTCAAACTCCCCCTGGGGCCCCCCCCACATCCCCCCCCCCCAAAAAAACACCTCACCACCAACCAGTCACACTAGATGCTCTCACCCAACCCCACATACACGCAGATCCAGCCACCCAACCAACCAACCAAGCACCCAACTACCCACTGCCCACCTATCCCCCCTCCCTCCTCCTAGACTATCTATGGGGTACCTGCTTCATTCGTCAGTGGTTCGTCTTACCCTCCCCCCCCCCAATACACACACGCACACACACACCTGCGCCCCCGCCCCCCCCGCGCTGTAGATGTAGTTCGAGTCTCTGTGCCAGGCGGCCACAGGCTGCGGGAACTGGTCCGCCAGGGGCGGGCCGAAGATGACTTTCAGCACGGACCAGTCACTCGTACGGAGTATGAGCAGCCGAGGCGTGTCCGTACACACCTGCATCGCGGCAAAACAGGAAGTGAAGATTGGGCCTTTGCGGGGCGGTTGGGGTGGTAGATGGCTGCCAGCAGATGAGGGACGAGAGGGCGCCAAGACCTCAGAATCTACCGTCCATCCGTCCACCCATCCATCCGTACACAGACATACACACACACACACGCCCAACGGGCCATCATCCCCACCCAATCCCCCTCAGGCGGTCCGTCGTGGGCCTCACCAGCAGGTACCTCCCGCAATGCGAGGTGACCAGGTGCTTAGCGGTGAATGAGACGTGGTCGTCTCCCGACTCGTTCAGGTTGACCAGGCGCTCGGGCACCGACTCACCACCGCCGCCACCACCACCACTAACACCCATCTTTGCCTGCAGGGAGAGGAACCGATGTCTTAAAAAAGCAAGTCTTAATAAGTAAAGATCTATATCGCCGGGCAGCCAGTCGGCGCCCGCACACCCGGCGTGTCACCTACCTCCTCCCCGACCAAACGACCAACATCCAGGAGCCGCAGATAGTTGCTGCCGCGAACAGAAACCACGAGCGTACTGCCGCTGCTGCTGCCATTGCTGCTGCTTGCTGCACCAGTTGGCTTGCCAGTTCTGGATCCTGTCGTGCAGTCGCGCAGAAAGGTGACGTCTGTCACGGCCGCGCCGTACGGGATCTGCATCAGATTGATAGATGGATGGATGATAACTTGATAGATAGAAGAGAGGTCTTTAGATAGAAGAGAGGTACCCGGAGGTCGCGGGGAGGTAGCGGCTTGCTGGTGCCTGCAGTAGGGGGGTGTTGCGTTGACGGACCATCGTCACGACCCCGGATGGACTGACGAGGTTCGTGTGCTGCACATGCCTACTGGTGTGGGGGCAGTGAAAATGGGAAGCGGTGTTTGCTCTCCAGCGGGGTTGACCCCTCTTCTCCAACACTGTAACCACGTCGCCGATCCCTTCCTTCCCTTCCCTTCTCTTCCTTCTCTCGCTCCCCCCCGATGCATCTGCCGGTTGCTGTCCGGAGGTCGGCTACCCCCTAACGCCCCCGACCCCACCGAGGGGGGCGGCGGCTGCGGCGGCCAGGCGGTCATGGAACTGAGCACCCAATCACCCAACGAACACTATTCAAATGTATGTATATCCCTCCAACCAACGGCCCTCCAACCCCTAACCACCAACCACCACAACGACCCAGACACAACAACCAACAGTCTTCCAACCCCGTCACCCGGGCACTTCCTCCCCTGACGCCCCTAACACAGGGGACCGCTACCCACCAAGCGAATTATCGACATGCGACCCGTCGGTCCCGCCGCCGCCGTCGCCGCCGCCGCCGCCGCCGCGTTTCCTGCGAGCCTGCTGCCGCCGTCGCCGCCGCCGCCGCAGTCAACTCCAGCACCGCGGCATGCATCTCCAGCCGCACTGACCACCCCCTGCCCTCCCTCACCCTGACCCAAATCAGAATTCAAATCTAATACATAATCTAGATCCAGCCGCAGGATCGCGACTGCCTCGTCCGTGGAGGCGCTGGCCAACACCATCACACCTCGTTCGCCGCTCCTGCCTTGAAGACCGCCGCCGGCTCCGGAACCGCCACCGCCATCCCCATTCCCACCACCACCACCACCACCACCACTATCCTCCCTCGGATCACATGTTCCGCCTTTAGCTGTAGTGCCGATGCCCCTGGTGGCAGTGGTGTCCATGGCGGTGGCGGCGGCGGCGGCGGTTGTAGCACGGGTCGTAGCATCGGTCGTGGAGGCCCACACCACACGTACCACGTACTTGGAATGTGGCTGCAAGGTGGCAATGATGGTGCCGGTCCTGCCGTACAGTACCGTAACCCTGCCGTCCATACCCCCCACGGCCACCAATGGAAATCCCCGACTGGCGGGGGGAGGGGCAGCAGTGGGGGGGTGTACGGGTGGGGGGGTTAGGGCAGGCCGGGGAAGAGCGCCGGGGACGAAAGCTGGGAGGGGAGGGGATTACACGCGCACACACGCGCATACCTTGCAAGGAGATAAAAACCCGGACGCTATCGGAAGGGGGCCGGAAGGGGGATAGGGCAGGGGGTTAGGGCAGGGGGGTGGAGGTGGAGGTGTAGATCCTTGACAAGGGCCCTTCCTCTTTTCCCTCCGTTTCTTCATTTCCCATGCCGGCGTTGCCCCGGGGCCCGTCAGGGTGTGCCGCGGCCGTAGATGGTGCCACACTACATACAGATCGACAGACACCTTCCATAAAACACACACACACACACACACGTACATTCGCTCTCTATCGCTGCTTTCCCGCCTAACCCTCCCCCCGCCTGCTGTGCTGCTCCCGGCTGCTCCAGATCTCAAGCCGCAGCTCCCCCCCCCCCCACCCACCACCACCACCACCACCACCACCACCACCACCACCACCACCCCGCAGGCCGCACTCACGAGTAATCAGGGTGTAGAGCCAGCGTCAGCAAAGCGGACGTCCCAACAGCGGTACTCCACACCACCTCAACCTCGTTGGCGCCGCCACCGCCGCCACTGGTTTCGCTTACGTCGCCGTCGCCGCCAGTGCCGTACCACCGTACGCAACGCACGCAGCCGTCTCCTGCGGTCGGGAGCCGGAATCAACAAATTACCACAACGATTCATCCTTCGGAACTTAATAAGACGGGGAGAGACGGGTGGGGTGGAGGTGATGTGAGGTGGGGTGGGGTGCGGTGCCTGTCGTTAAACCCCCAGGGCGCTCAGCTGCTCTTCAGGTAAGGATACAGACATCGCTGCGGCTAACATGTACAGAGAGCCCTGGTACTACATCATCAACTAATCAAGGCCGTACTTTATGGCTAGTGGGGGCGTTCAGTAACAGGCCCCCTGTGGTCGACAATAAAGCCCTACCACCCCCCTCACCACCCCCCTTACC